CTAAAACCTCTCCCTATTTGCTGTGTGACTTCCCAAATTCCAGATTGCAGGCCAGTCCATTTCCCAGGAGGAGCAAACACCAATCAGAGTGCTGACATCTCTTCATTAATAAATCCCACTCCTTGTTAGCTGGTAGCAGCCTCTCAGAGCCACAGGCTCACAGAGCTGCAGCCCCTGCACCTCTCCTGCCTGCCTTCTGCTCTCCACAGACTGAGAGGCTTAGCAATGGCAGTGCCTGTGTGTGGGTGCTGCCTCCCCGGTGGCGCCTTACCGTGTACAATAGCCAGCGCCAGGATCCCCCCTGTGCTGGTCCCTGCAATCCAGTCAAAGAGCTCCCTGATTGGCTGGCCGGCAGCCTTCTCAATGGCGATGAGAAGCTGGATGAGCACCAGGCCCCGGATGCCCCCTCCATCCAGACATAGGAGGCGATCGCACCTACAGAGGGAACAGGAGAACAAGAAGATAGGGGCCCGCTTATGCATTAGAACATACTGGATGCTTAGCTCAGCAGACGTTCCTCTATAAACTGACCTCCTCTGCACCTCCCTGATGCCCCTCAAGTGTCCCAGCTCAATTGCCAAACCCTCCTGTAACTCCATAAGCACTCAACTGATCTCTAACTGCCAAACATATTCCTGGCCCTTTCAGGTGCCAAAGCAGCCATCCATCACCTCAACCAGCTCCCAGACCCCACCTATGGGGAAATCAGGGGCATTTGCCCAGGATAAACAAGGTCTTTCCATGAGCTGTGGAAAGATCAGCAGCCTCACAGACAAAATAAATTACTCTGTGCAGAGCTGTCTCCAGGTGTAGCACCATCCAAAGCCCCACGAGAACGCATCACTGCCCTCTCAATATCATGAACTATTTCACGGCCCACAATCCCAAACACATCTCCCAGGCATTAAAGGTCCATCTCTCCCCGTCCCAGTTATCAAAACCTCTACCTTCCCCCTGCAACATCCCCCGCAGTGCAGTTACACATTGCCACAAACAAAAAAAGTCGGCAGCACCTTGCTAGAAAATGGACAAATTTCCAGATGGTGCTAATTGGTGTCGCTTCACTGATCAGCAGTTATGTGTTGCCAGAAACAACAATGCATTCTTTAGGGCCCAGGATGTCATTCTTCTCAATGGAGCTATGCTGATTTACACCAGCTGGCCCTTTACATTTAGATGCATATAAAATAGAGGGAATTTAATCTTCAAATAAATTACACTGGGGTCCCAACATGTTAATCACGTTTCTATTTAATTCAACAATCCCTCCCTTCTCACACACTCGCCGGAAGCTACCGCACAATTCCCAATCTACTGCCATGGAAACCAGGGGTCCTGTGACAGAATTTAAGGCCAGCTCAATGCCAGAGTCCTTGGGTCTTGGCGAGACCAGATCCACACACAGCTCAAGGAGAAGGCCTTCAGCCCTCTGAGAGAGACAGGGATCTGCACCTCTGCTCTGGCTGCTGAGAGGGCTGGGCATGCAGTACGATTCCTCTCAGTGCCCTGAGCTACGGCTCCTACAGCTCTAGTACAACCCATCCCCTTGCTGGGAGCTATTTCCCTTGAAGACTGGGGTTGATTGACGACATCCTTCCTGTCTACGCTGTAGCAGCGCTTTCGGAACAAATGGCTATAGCTCTCAATCCTTCCACTGCCCTTCCACCAGGCCCCACCACAGCTGCGACCGTCGCCAGCCTTTCAGATTCCTTCTCCCCAACACAGCTTGTTTGAACAGCATATTCGTTTCTAAACCACAAAGCATACTCAGCGCTGGCCACCCCTTTGAGCCGCTGAGGACAGTTTCCTTATTCCACTCACCTGCTCAGGACCCTGCTGCTTGCCCTCTAATCACAGACCTTCCTCCAGCCCCCAGCAATCACAGCAAGAATTTGTTCCACCAATACTCCCCCCTGTACTTCCTGCCACTTTTGTGCATCCTCTCCCTGCCCCACACAAAATGGATGCATCACATGCACAAAGATGCTGCCAAAGTGGTGTGAAAATTGGCACAGAGTTTTGTAGCCATCAGCTCAGTGTGTCAGGCAGGGAAAAAATTAACAGGGCTAAAGCCCACACTTGCTGCTCCACAGCGTTAAATGGGTGGTGGTGGTAGAGGTGGCAGATTTTAATCATGCAGGTTGGGTTCCATTAGGGGATTGGCCAGGGGTGGCAGCGAGCAGCCTGTGGGCCAGACGCAGAACACCAGAGTTAGCTCCCGGGGGGCTGCTGGTGCTTTATTTTCCTGCATGTCCACAGATACGGCTGCTTGCAGCTCCCTTTGGCTGCAGATTGTTGTTCCCAGCCAATGGGAAGTAGTGTCCCTGCCTGTGCTGCTTCCTGCAGCTCCCCTTGACCAGGAACTGCAATCAGTGACCAACGGGAGCCGCAAGCAGCCAGACCTGCAGACGCGCAGGTACATAAAACACTGGCAGTCTGCGGGCTGCTTACTGCCCACCCCTGGTGTCGGCCAGTGCATGACTCTGCACACTAGCAGGAGGAGAGGGATCACTCCTGGGCATGCCACACATGGGATATTGGTCAATGATAATGACAGCGGAGAACTTCAGACATCCACATGCATGCGCTCTCCCCCGCCTGGCATGCTGGCTCATTCTAGGAAAGAGGCCCGTGCATCACGGGGGGAGGAGACACTCATTCCCACATCCCCATAATCAAGCCGTGCAGCTGTCTCATCTGCTCCACTCCTCACTTACGTTCTCTTCGCATCACTGGTAGTGTCCACAACATCCGGCGCCTTCAGCAAGTGGCCAAGTGCTGTGGAAATATGGATGATGCTCTCGTACCCTAGAGAGGCACAGACACAGTGGAAGAGAGAGACATGTCATAACGAGAGGAGAGGGTTATGCATAAACAGGGCCTTTGCTTCCCCCAGAGTGAGAATAGTCCCTAAGGGGTCTCCCGGGATCCTAGAGTTCCCTCACTGCTCTCTAGTCTTCCATCCCATGCCTCTAGTTTCCTTTCCCACCCTTCTGTCCCTCATCTTAAAAAGCTCAGTGGTGGAAAAGACCTTTTGGGTCATGTCTTCCCTTCCCTGCCAGTGCAGAACTGCTCCCTGTAGTACAATCCCCAGCTCTTCAACATCCCAAGCAATGAGGCTTCCCCTGCTTCCCTTGGGAGACACTTACACTGACATCACCACCAAGAAATACTTCATAGCAGCCAGCCACAGTTCTGCTGTTTTAGCCTAGCGACGTCTCCTTGCTATTTAGCCCCTTCTAGCACTCTTGAGGGGGACAGATACTCATCACATCTCCTATATTCACTAGTTTGCAAAGTTATCTGCTATAAGGGAAGTCCTTAACCAGAACTTCTGCCTTCTCTCTTCTGTCTCCCAGTAGCTGGTTACTAACATGTACACATTCTACCCCTCCAAAGGACTCGCACCCTGTTATATCAGCACAAATATCTTCAAAATTCCCACCCCATCAAACAAGGTCTTTGCCCTGCTGCTTGGAAGAGAAAAGCCACTGCAAGCAGCACCACCAATTCACCCCGTTCTTCGACTCCACATCAAATATGACGACCAGAAATCAAATCCCGGAAAGCAAACACCGAAACCTAGAGCACTTTCAAATAAAAGATGCAGAGGAGCAGATGACAGCCAGAGTAAAACAGAGAAGGCAGATCTGGGCAGCCGCAGGAAATGAGAAAGAACCCTAGATCTAATCCTGGGAGATAATCAGACATGGAGATCTGGGAGACTCCTCATTACCCATCTGTAGCTGTATCCCAGGCCACACCCTAGGAGTAGGGAGGCAATCTGGCACAGATGAGGTGCCAGCCTGTGAAACCAAAAGAAAAACAGTGGCTAGGAGAAAGGAGTGGATCTTTGGAGGAATCTCAGCATCAGACGAGGTTTCTCAGCACACTCAGGTCCCTGATCAAAACAGCCCTGTTCTGTCAATACATCAGAAACCTAATCCTGAAAGAACACCCGTAGCCCCCACTACTTCTGAGAAAAGAAGGAAATTCAGCCCTGGATTTCCCTCCTTGTACTACTCCACCAATGGAATTCCTGGAGGTACAGACGCTCACCTGCTGGGGTGAGATGAATCATTTTCTCTAGACACACCCTACAGGAATGGTATTTTTGCATTAGAAAGTGCGAAGGTTGGAGTGAGAATCCTGGTTGGCCATTTCTTCAGAGCAGCAGAATTACAGGTCAGCAATTCCTCCTTTTCTGTCTGTCTGCCACACCATCCATCTTACCAAGACCCTAACCACAGTAACTGCATTAATTCTTATTGGTTACTCGACTATTCTATAGTCTCTTGGGGCAGGGCCGGCAGCCAGTGCGTTCTGGCCCCACTCCCAGGGAGCCCCCTGCCATCCTGCGCTGCTGCCTCTTTATTACAGGCAGTAGGGCGGGATGCCAGGTGGGAGCTGGTCTGCAAGGGGAGCCAGTTTAAAAACCAGCTCCCCACACAGACCAGCTGCCTGCCACCCGCACTGCTGTCTCTGATACAGAGGCAGAAGCGGAGGGTGGTAGCAGCCCCGTCCATGGAGAGTCCGAGCTTCCCATGGGCAGAGGCTGCTCTGCACCCCACAGGGTGGCAGGTCCAGGCTCATCACGAACAGAGGCTACTTTGCGGCAGCCCCTCCACCGTCCCCTGCACTGTTGCCTCTAATAGAGAACTCAGTGTGGGGGGAGGGGGGAGGAAGGGGCACACAGGCATTACTGTGGAGCCAGTGCTGGGGGAATGAGCTTTTAAGCCGGCTCCCCCAGCACCGGCTCCTGCTCCCCCCCCTTGCCCCCCTCATGCAGTTGAGAAGATTAAACAATAAACCTAGGCTAATTGTATAGTCGACTACTTTAAGAGCAGGTTAGATAGACATCTATCAGGGATAGTCTAGACGGTACTGGGTCCCGTCATAAGGGCAGAGGACTGGACTCGATGACCTCTCGAGGTCCCTTCCAGTTCTAGTATTCTAGGATTCTACATGTAGACCTCTCTAGTGAGAAGGGAATTCATTTTCCACATCATCTTAACCTTTCTCTCCACAAGTTTTCAGCCCTGTATACCTGGGCCTCAGCTACCTCCACATCTCATTCCTCCCCACTCCCCCCACAAACCCAGGATGCCCCATCACCAACAGAGATAGGAAAACTCAAGAGAGATTTCAGATGAGCCCTTCCATTTCTGTCTCTCCAGCTGGATGGGGGTGAGTGTAACAGCATATGGGAGCATAAGGGGCAGATTTATTCAAAGGGATGGAGCCAGCCACCCAAACTACTCTTCCTCTGACTGTTGCACTACACAGGTATATCCAGAATCCAAATAGATCCATAGAACTTTCCTGAGGAGAGGAAAATAATAAAAAAAGGGTAGACCTGATCCTCAGAAGAATGGGAGCAGGCTGACAACTACTAAAGGCAATAAAAGCTGGGAGCAGGGATGGAGCCCCAGAAGTGCAGAACAATCCAGAGAGATGCTCTCAGAGAGGACTGTGAAGAGAAGGAGAGAGTGAGAGACAAGGCCAGGCAAGGTGTTACCTAAACTGTGGCTAAGGAGAGAGTGAGAGACAGGGCCAGGCAAGGTGTTACCTAAACTGTGGCTGTTGTTCCGTGGGAGCGGTGGTCTTTCCGGGGAGAGTGGTGGTGACGACCCAGATGCCATGTGGGGGGATTCAGGGTTAGGTGGGTGGCAGCGCTCTGTCCCTACCTTCTGCAGCAGGCCTAAGAGCACCTTCCGGTTAGGACCTTGCGAGGTGGGGGAATTGCACATGTTAAAGAGAAAATCAATACACAGATCACGAGGTCATTCCGAACGCCCTAACAAGCCAGTCCTTTGTGTGCACAGTAACCAAGAGAGATGGGGAGTGAGGTAGGAATCAGACTCTGTGCACCCTTCCACATAGATTTTAAGGCTTGTGTTCTCTTGGGATCTCTGATCCTGCATTTCACAGCTGCTTTATGGGATACATGCTGCACACTCACTATGGCCAAGGAGAGCAGGGAGGAGGGGGGCCTGCACTTGGCAGTACAGTTGCCCTTCCTTTCCCCAACATGCTCTGACAGCATTTGAGAACACGGCTTGGAGAGGGGCAGCGTCTGGTTTTCCACTTCTACCTCCTGCTCCCTTCTTCCTCTCTTCTGCTCTGGGCTCTCTCTCACCTTTGCTGGTTCTGGCTGCCACCAGCCCTGGAGTCTCCCCAAGGTCATTGGGGATCTCAACGTCTGCTCCAAACACAATGAGAGCCTTGATCATCTCCAGGTGGTCTTGCTGTAAGGAGGATGAAAGCTCTGGTCACAGGCAACACTTTCTTCTTCTGCCTACCACTACCTACTTTAGTAAGTCGTCACTCTCCTCCCTGCTCTCATCCTAGAGTGTGCCAGCTAATCAAAAGCATCCTTCCCACCACTTGCAGACCAGGACCTGTGAAGTTCCTGGTGTGGGCCCCAGCCCAACTGGACCAAGTGAACCCAGCTCAAAGTATGGAAGAGAATGGTTGTGCCTACTAACCCCTCTCTCACCGAAAGGCATGGCAGGCCTCCTCCATGGCCACCTTCTCATGCCCTGGTCCTGAAGAAACAGTCCCCTGGGAAGTGCAGAACCTGCAGCCTACAAAAAACTCACCTTCATGGCCAGGTGCAGTGGGGTGTTGCCATCCTGCCCCTTGGCGTTAGTGAGAGCCCCGTGTGTCAGCAGCACCATGGCACTGTCAAAGCGCCCCCGCTTGACCATGATGTGTAAAGCCATGTCTGCTGTCCTGCTGACAGAATTCACGTCACAGCCGTACTCAATCAGCAACCGCGTCATCTGAGTCCCGCAGGCAGAGGGAGAGAAGGCAACAAGGAAGCATGACAGCTTCAGAACAGCAGCATGGGTGGGCAAACTATCCTGTTCTCCCTTAGGTAGGACATGCAAAGCAGTGAGTGCTGGTGCAGCTAGTGATAGCAATGGGAGGGAAGAAACAAAAGGCACTTGAGCATCAGCTACAAAGCCCTGGGCACCTGTGTTGTGCTAAGGAAAATCTTGTGAGGTTTCTCTAACGCTTGATACCAAAACAGACTTTCACTTTAATGATCTTACCTATGCTTCTGAATGTCTCTCTTGTGTCTTACAACAAAATACAAGAATAGGACCACGCAGTGCCAGACCTAAATGAAAAACACACTCCCATTTGGGCTTAAATCCTTGGCAAAATCCTGCACATTTGAGGGAAGATTCTGCGTAATTTTGCCAAATCCTCCTGTTAGTTTCCACTGTTCCACTTGATGAGCTAGACAGTTTCAAGCCTTTTCAGTACTTCACTGGGAAACATCCAAGGGCAACAGATGCTGGAAAGAGGCACTTTCCTCTCTAAACTAGTGCTCTGGTACAGTACTGGGGGTATTATGCCACTCCCCTGATATTTTTCCCCAAGAATCTGGGATTTGAGGTCCAGGGGTCAGGCCAATTTCCATTCTGGGTGATTATAATGTACCTAGCTAAAATTCCCCTGCAGTAACAAGTTATTCTTCAGTTTCCTGCCTTAGAAACTGCTATATATGTTAGCAGCACAGAATGGCTGCCGTGTTCAACCCCAGACATGGCCTTGTTTTAGAGGAAGCACTATTACACCAGTAGAAAGAGAGAGGAGGAGATCAAGCTGGCAATCTGCTGACCTTGGGTACCCAGTACCATTATCTGCCCACTTCACTGTGAGAGTCCACAGCCTTCTCCCTGCACACTGCATGACACTGATTCTCTCAGCCAGTGCAGTGGGGAGCCTGAGAATCTGTGGGCCTGATACATACAGGCTACCACCTCCCCATCCAGGGTGACCAGTGACTGTCTTTTGGGTGGCTTGCTGGTTACTGTGCTCTAAATGGACGGACACACACACCTGCAATATGCAGGAAGGGAAAGGTTTCCAGCTGGAGGCATTACCCAGGAAAGGAGAAAGGGAAGCAGAATTTCAAATGAGAAGAAGTGGTTCAGCATGACTGGATGGGCTTATGTGCCTGTCCGTCTGCCCCTCTGCCTGGCATCATCTCTGCTTACCTCAGCGTTTTTGGCCCAGTGGAGCGGAGCTGCTCCGTAGCGGGGGTCAATGAACTGAACTTGATTGACATCCACTTCAAGAAGGGCCTGCACACACCTTTGGGAGGAAATGAGATAGAGGCATGGAAACAGAACTGGCATGGAAAGGGACAAAGATCCCAGCCTACCAAGAACGCACAGGTGTCGTCACATCCTGGAGCGCGCCTGCTGGGGAACTGTGGTTAAAAGCCCTCTCTCCTTCCATCCCACCTAGGATACTCTGAGACCTGGGCAGCACCCTCAACAGCAAAGCATCCAGCGTTCCTTGCTCTTATACTGAAGAGGAGCTAACAGTCAAGGTGCTATCAGGCTACCAGGGCCCCACTAGCAGAGAGGATAGCAGGCGCTGGGAATGGACACCTGGGAATCTGTGCCACTGGGTCCTACCGTGCTGGTAAGGCAAATGAACACTGTACTAGTAAGAGTGTTAGCAGGCGACATCCTGGGGCTGGCCCATCCTCAAAGGCAAAGCCACAATGGAAGTGGGCACGCAGGATCTGAGCAGGTGTGAGGTGTCTGAGGAGTGTCCATGCTCAGGGAGGCAAGTGAACACTAGGAAGGGGCATACTAGCCAGGCATCAACAATAGAGTTCTTTCCAAGCCAAGCGAACAGGTCCTAAGTGGGGTCTCAGCCAGCAAGCACTATCCTGCTGAGTATCAGAGGGGTAGCCGTGTTAGTCTGAATCTGCAAAAGCGGCGAGGAGTCCTGTGGCACCTTATAGACTAACAGAAGTGTTGGAGCATAAACTTTCGTGGGCAAATACCCACTTTGTCAGATGCATGTAGACTATCCTGCTGTCACTCCTATTCCGGAGGGGAAGGCACTGGGAAAGGGCAGTGAATATGTGTCAGTCAGAGATGCCCTGATATTGTTCTCAGCAGGGTGAGCAGGCACCCAGGGAGAAGCACATGGGCATCAGGCCTATAGGCAGGACCCTTCCAGTGCATCTTTTCCGACAAGACAGGTGGACACTTACCCCTTCTGGGAGTACTTCACAGCTGTGTGAATGGGGTAGCCCAGTGTGCCCATGATGTTACACTTGGCATGACATTTCAGTAGAGCCAGAACCACGTCCTCCTTCCCCAGCTGGCAGGCTAGGTGCAGAGGTGTCTGCCCCCGATTGCTCAGGTGGTTCAAGCCAACAGATGGCTTTTTGCCCAGGAGCTGAAAAGAAATAAACAGCAAAATCTCTCTTCAGGCTCTGAGGAATGCTGCTGGGAATAGTAGCTGACTCCTCATAAATGGCATAGCCTGTTCTCCCCCCATCACCTACCCTAGGACCATCCTGGTGGTTATTTAAACTCTCCTTGTGCGTCCAACTGGGAAGTCTATTACTGTACTTTGTGTTCTCCCCTTTGGCTCAAGCTTAGCTTAGAGCCTGAATGCAGATCCTGCTTAAAGCATAAACAAAATAGAAATGGCTTCAAGACTTTGGTTTCAGAAATTTCAAACAAACTAGTATGGTTGGTTGGTTGAAAATTGACACTCTCCCCCCATAAAGGGAGATTTCGGCAAAGCCAGTAAAGTGCCTGAACCACTATTGCTTACTGCTAATAGCAACCAAGCTAGCAGGCCTAAATAGGCCTAAGTGGCAGTCTTAGCATGACCAAGTCAGGGGAAGAAGGGGGCTTGGGTGCCACAGAGAGGGAAGCCTGACCCTGTGTCCTTCCTGAGGGCCAGATCTCAGTTGAGACTGCTGAGCTATGCATTTAGAAAACAGGAAGCTTATCTAGATGTGCCCTAAGGGATATCTGTCACAGCCTGAGGGCATGCAGATGCTGAAAAAACACATCTGGCTAATTGATGATCAGAAGAAAACTTCTCGCCTAGCCTTTAAAATATGCTTGCCTAGCAAGTTTTTTTGAATGACATGTAATACTAACGGATAAATAGGGAAGGAAAGTTTGAGATAGTTGGACTCTTCATGGACTTTTTGGGGACCCTTTTAAGTACTCTACATCAGTGTTTCTCAACCAGTGGTATGAGTACCCTTAGGGGTAGTCGAGAGAAGTCTGGGGGGGGGGGGGTGTCAACACAACTGAAATTTGGAGAAAACTGAATTTTTGTTTTAAGTTTTACAGCGCTTTATTCTTTTTGTACTTTTTACACCCAAAAATTTCATTGCCCACCTGGCTGCGATTAAGTTGTTTAAACAAATGAGTTGCAATAGTAGAAAAAATTTGTGTGTGTCTGAAAACTGTAGGTACTGGGGGGTATTTATAATTTTTTTTAAAGGGGTACTTTATAAAAAAAGGTTGAGAAACACTGCTCTACATCTGGACACATCTTTGGTCCCCACCAGAAAATGGAAGATTGGCCATTGGAAGCCATCACTGTGACACTTGAGAGCCACACTCAGCTTCGGTAGTTACCAATAGTGGGGGTGTTTTACTAATCTGTTGTGAACGTAAGTGCTTGAAAGTAAGTAAAGTTTAGCTTTATGAGAAAGCACTCTTGTCTTGTTCTGTTTGTAACATCCATCCAGCTATCGGTCGGTCGGTCTCCATTGAGTTATTTCCTGAAACCATTTCGCAGAGAGTAAGATGACTAAGAGGTTTGGTTGAAAGAACCCTGAGTAACAAATTTTGGAGGCTCCAGCGAGGACTGGTCGAGAGCAAGGAGACAAACAGTTGGTACAAACAGTTCGTAGTTTGTCCATTGCAATAGAAGGTAAAAGACAACGGGGTGAGGTCCCTCCCTACAAGTTGCCGTGTCGCAGTTCACAAATTAATTTATGGATACATTCCATTACTTGGACTCAGGCTGATTGCCTGCTCAAGTGAAGAATTATGTCCAGAGACAGGGAAACATCTGGAAAGAAAGAACAGTCGCAAGTGATGTTGGGAAACAGCTTGGCAGGTTTTGTTCAGGAGCATGGGGAAAATGGACCCTGAAAGCCCAGTGCCTTTATTGGCCCCTGAGCCTTCCTGCAGCTCCACCAGTGATGGGATATCTGGGTTGGTGGAGAAAAGTGGGGAGACCCAAAAGAAGAGAGCTGATTTGCAGGGCTTGTGGATAGTTGCTACAACGCTGGATCAGGAGCTAGATCGGCTAAAAGACAGAGTGCAGGAATTGGAGAGAACCAGAGCAGAAAAGGAAACTGAAGTGATTAATCTGAAGGCAAAATCTGACACTCTCAAAGCACGGCTCTAACACACAAGCAGCACAGATTGTTGGAATGCAGAGGGGGGGGTATGACTGTGAGAGAGTCAGAGACAAATGGCAGAAGGAGGCGTCTGTGTTACAACAGCAGGTGACCAAGAATGAAGCAGCAGTGAGAGCCCTTTTAAAAGACTCCCAAGGCAGAACTCAGGCAAATCGCAGGGAATGCCAGAGACAAATTTGCGCCCTTAAAACAGTGGTTCCCAACTGCTGGGCCACGGACTGGTGCCAGTCCACGAACTGCTGGCTGCCAGGCCGTGGCAGCTGTCACAGCTCAAGCCGTCTGTTCACAGTGGTTCAGCTCTGGCAGCCATGGTGACTGAGATGGCAGCAGGAGAAGGCGAAGCAGGAGGCACCTCACCCCCCTCGATAATGATAGCCAGCCGGAGCTCTGTGCTCCTCTGCCTTCTACCGATGAGGGTGCAAGACGCACTTGGGGAGGGAGGGGGCGTGCACATCACCAACGGCCGTGCCCCCTGCCTGCAGCACTAATAGACATGATACCTAGGGGGGGCAGCCTCACTCTGGGGAGTGTAGGGGTGGGGTGGGGGCAAAGGGGTGTTGGGTGAGGGTGTGTGTGTGGGGGAGGGGTCACAGTGTAGAAAAAATGCATATTTTTATATTGATTATAAGATTATAAGTATGATACATAATGATTTGATGTAATGACTTGCTCATAAGTTCTCTAGCTTCGCTCTCTCTGTCTCTTGTGATTAGATAATGTTCACTGCAAGGCCTTGCTCCCTGTTAAATATTGCAAATTAAGTTGTACTCCTTGAACTACTGATCTTGTTTGAACTCTGTACAATTGTTTGGTGTGAATGGAGCATGTGTATGAGTGAAAGCCATCACAGATGCCCAGGTGAAGAAGAAGAACTGGAAACTTTGAACTATCCATTGTGTCTTGAGGCTGAATTGAATTGGCAGCATTGACTAACCCTGGAGACAGGCAGAGACCCCACCAAGAGTGAAAAACAATCACCATCAAAGGAACACAAATGAACACCTCCTAAGGGTGGATGACTGCAGCAGGACACTGCAAAACCCATAGACTCCAATGGGAACTGACACGGATAAGAAGGGAAGCTCTTGCCATGGGACTCTGGGTTCAGTCCTGCAAGCCAAGCCTTGGAGGAGCCTCGAATCGCGATCAAGAGACCCTGACTCCTCACTCAGTCAGCCTTGCCTGGCCAGTAAGACTGACTGGAGCCACGACGGACTGGTAACTATGCAACATCTGTAGGACTCTGTGTGTGTATGTATGTATGTGTTTGTCTTTATAAAGCATATGCTAACGGCTTCTCTGCTGTCTTCTTAATAAACACTGTGTATTGCCTTCTCCCCTGAAAAAGATCCCATGTGCTTCTTATAAGCATAACAACAGGGCAAGAGGGTATTGGCATGGGCTGTAGGGGTCAGATGTTAAAGGACACTGGGTGTAGCGGTCGGGGGGTCAAAGTGTGTTAGGCACTGGGGAGCAGGGGGCTGGTTTGGGGCTAGGCAGGCAGGTAACATTTTATTTGCAGCTTTGCATATTCATTATGCATAATGAATGTGCAAACATCTATTAAAAAGGTTGGGAACCACTGCCTTAAGGTTCAGTTAGGTGAACAAAAGGGGATCATGGCAGCGATGGGAGGGAATTGCAGCTGGGAGGAAGACACAGAAGCAGAGGAAGATCCTGATCCATACCCCCCTTGTTGCAATTGGGAAAGGAAGGACTCTGATGAGTTCCCCCTGGATCCTATCTGGCAGTCTCCATACAGTCCCCTACGGAGGTCACTGGAAGAACTAGAAAGACCTCCTCCAACAGTCTCTATATCAATAGCTCTGTCACAAGGAAAGGACCCAGGGAAGGGGATTCAGGAACAGAAGAATGGGTGGAAACTAGCCCCTTTACCCCTGACCAGATTAGGACAGCAGGGAAATCAGTTGACCCGCTGAACAGAAATGCAGCCTTGAGGTGGTTGGTAAGAGTATCTGACAGGGCTGGATTCACTCCAGCTGATGTAGCCTCTGTGTGCAGGGAGTGTATGACCCCCAAGGATTTTTGCAGGACTCCCTTATGATATCCAAATGGGGGGCCCCTTGAAGCAAATGATACAGAGAAGCACACACATAAGGGATGTTAAATTTTGATTAATCAGCTAATTGAGTAGTGGATGGAATTTCCATTGACTTCCCAATTAGTCAATAAGGGGGGCGGGGCGCTCGCTATCCCACTGCGCTTCTCCCTTTGAAATGTACAAAAGCTGCCTGTGGCTCTTGTACATTTCAAAGGGAGAGAGGCAGTCCCTGCTGGCAGGGTTCCCCTCTGTGCCTCTTCCTTTGAAATGTACAAGAGCTGCAGGTGGCTCTTGTACATTCCAAAGGAGAGGAACAGCTGTGGGATGGGTGCAAGCGGGACTGTTTCAAATGCTCCTGACGTTTCCCTTCTGCCCCCTGCCTCCCCTACCCCCTGCAGAGACAGTGTGGGGGGAGGAGGGAGGAAGAAATGGCTTATAAGCCAGCACTGGCTTGTGCTCCCCCCTTTGATAGAGAAAGCAAGGGGGAGGGGGAGCGACTAGTCGAGTTCCTACTTGACAACTAGTCACTTACATCCCTAACTCAACCATGCAGAGGAAGTAATACATGCTTTCTTCCCGGGAGAGAGCCCCACAGTTATATTTTATCAGGAGAAACAACAAGACAGGGCGAGAGCAGAAAGTTATATAGCCAGAAAGAAAATAGCGTAGAGACATTCTGGGCTGACACATGCTGTTAATCCAGACCTTGCAGCCCTCCCTTTCAAACAAGCTTTAACCCACAGATTTCTCCCTTTGATTCATACGGCCTTTGTGAGTATGGATCTGGCAGCCATTCAGATAAAAGACACGGCAGATGTAGCAAAGCAGGCCTAGGAGTTCAAAAAGACATCCACCTTCCTAAAAGGAAACCCAATAAGGTGGCTTCCATAACTCCTCCAAATAACACTCAGGGAAAAGAAAGGGGAGAAGACCCCATAAGGATCGAGGCAGAACCCCTGACCCATGGCGTGGGGACACTTGGAAGCGGCTCTTAAAATATGAGCCAAAGGAAACAACAGACTGGTTGCCAACCCTGAACTCCTAGTAAAACTGGCAGACTAGGAGATGGCTGAGCATAGAGGAAAAGGCCCTACTGCTGCACCAGTTTTATCCACATAGGGAGGCCAGGCATCCCAGGAACTCCCAATTGTGGCACAATTAAATAGCGATGAGTGGGGGAAGTTCACAATTTATGCAAAGTTTGCAGGAGCAGGGTTCGAACAAAATTTACCAGTAGACACATGTGCCACATATTATTCCTTGATTAGTACCCAAAACAAAAACCTGTTTGGACCTCCAGCTGATATCAAAATCTTGCATGGCTTTAATGAGGCACAAAGGAGTGTTCCCTTTTGCAAAAGAATCCCCTGCAGTGTAGGAACAAAGAAAAGTCCAGGGCAATTTGGCTTGATGGATCTAGGAAAAGAAGGTGTTCTAGGAATAGATATTTTGAGGGAATTGAGAGTGCCAGTTGATTTTGCTAACAGGGTTTTGTGGGAAATGTCTCCTGGAACTCCATGGAGATTTCAGTGAGCTACTGAATAGCAGCCCTTAAGGCATCAGAGGAATTGGAGTGGCCTGCTTGGCCCCCAGAAGTTTTAGAAATTGCAGAAAAATACCAGGAAGTGTGGGCCAAAAATAAAATAGAATGTGGTAAAATTGAGGCAGAAATCTTAGAAAAAAGCCATGATCCTCCATCCCAGAAACAGTATTGCTATCCAAAGGAGGCAAAAAACAGACTAAAGGAAACAAGTGATGGACTGTTAAATCAGGAAGTTTTAGTGGAACAGCCCAGCCCTAACAGTGTAGCACTCTGGCCCATCCTTAAGAGTAATGGCAAAACTTGGAGGTTTGTGGTGGATTTTCATCCCCTTAACTGGGTGATTCCTCCTATGGCCCCCAAGAGTGGCTGAGTATCAGGAGGTAATGGCTTCCATTGTAGGAGGGGCCCAAAGGTTTTCAGTTTTAGATTTGGCTAATGAGTTCTTTGCTATCCTCTAACGCAGTTGTTCCCAAACTTTTTGGCATCACGCCCCCTTTTTGATTTTTGAAAAACCCTCACGCCCCCCCACACCCCCCACCCCCCAAAAAACAGCAACAAAACTTGTTGAGAAAAAAGGAAGAAGAAGAAGGAGGAGGAACTGACCGGGGCAGCAAAACTTGATGGGGGGAGGAGAGGAGGCTGGGGCGCCTTGCGCACCCCCCCCCCTGGAATTTCTTCACTGCCCCCCATCCAGGGAGGCACCCCCCCCTCCCAGTTTGGGAACCCGTGCTCTAACAGTAGGACAGCTACTATAAATTCACTTTCATCTTTCAGGAAAAATAACTGCCTTGCCCAAGTCCCCACGGGCTGGAATAATGCCCCTGTCATCCGCCCTGCACATGTAGCAAAAATGTGAGGGGGGATGCCTGAAAGGAACACCATGATTTCTTAGGTGGATGATATCCTGGTCAGCGCACAGACCCAAGAGGAAAATGTAAGGGTGCTGGACAAAGTGCTGCAAAAGACTCAGGAAACAGGGTTAAAGATCAGCCCAAAGACGGCCCAACTGTGCTCCCAGCAGGGAAACTCTCTCCGAGTAACCCTGGGACAAGAAGGGCATTCCCCTGACCAAAAGAGGGTTGAGCTGATCCTTACGCTCCCAGCCCCCACAGATGTAACTGCTCTTAGAACCTTCCTGGGTATGGTTAACTCCTCCCGAGATTTTATTGAAGGGTTTTCGGAAAAGACAGCTCCACCGCATGAACTGTTAAAGAAAGGAGCAGAGTGGATTTGGGGCCCTCAGCAGCAGGAGACCATGGTTCAGCTAAAACAAACTTCAGCCCAAGCCCCATCCCCGCCATACCCTAGGGTCGGAGAACCATTTGTATTACAGCTGGCAACTGCAGACAAAGGGATGGGAGCTGTGATAAGCCAGAACCATGGGCCAGGTCTCCAACCTGTGTCTTATGCCTCCAAGATCCTGAGTAAGATAGAGAAGGGATTCAGTTCATGTGAAAAAGAGGTTTGGGTTGAAAGAACTCTGGGTAACACCCCACCCCCTTCCACACACATATGGCAGGAAACTCAAACCCACCAGAGAAGCAGGAAGTGAATCTGGAGAGTTGAATTTCCCTCTTCTTGCTGAACGAAAGACAAAGGGCAAACAGTATTCTGGGGGAAGGTTAATCCAGTTTAAAATCTCAGGGCAAAGCCACTAAGTTGCTGTTATTATACTAACTCAGGGAGAAGCTGCTGTGTTAAATCAGAATTGCTTTTAGGGTGCCTTAAAAAAATCCAGACACCCTAAATGTGGGGAGCCCTCCTCTTTCTCATCCTACAGTTCTCATCATAAGCCAAGGAAATGCCCATGGTCTGTCCCAAAACTCTCTCAGACTCTTTTAAAGTTCAAGACTGACCCCTAGAAAACTACCCAATCTGAAGGCCAAGAAAAAGGAGAAATGGTGAAGAGCTGCAAGGCTTGCAGCCTACGACCATAGAAATCCCAGCACTGTAACATGTTCTCTCACCCCACCCACCACACAGATTACCATACCCTGCCACAGAAAAAGAGCAAGGAGGAAGGAGACTCAAGCGGTGCTAGCACAAAATGGGATCAGACAGAGGCAAACTGGGACCTGAGGAATTTTTACAAACCTACGTCAGAGCTGTGAAGGAGGCTCAGCTCCTCCCTCTCCTCTGTGACTGGGACAGCAGAGTCAAGCCCTGAATAATTGTTTCTAGACCTATAAGTCTCAATTTTCTTTCCCCACAGTCTACTTGAAAATGGCTGAGGGTCTTGCCAGACCACTTAATGGTCTTTCCAAATGTCTTGCCCCTTCTACTGGGGCTGGGAAGAAGGGGGTGTCTCTCTCCCTCCAAGGCAGTCCCTGACCTGGGCTGGGAAGGAAGAGGGGTCTTTCCTTCTCTGCTCCACTGCAGCAACCCCAGAGCTGCGCTGGGAAGGAGGGAAGTTTCTCCTTTTCAGCCCCACTGCGGCAGCCCCCAAGCTAGGGCTGGGAAGGAGGGGGTTCTATCCAATTGCCACAGCCTGGAGTTGGGGAAGTCATCTCTTTCTCTGACTACTGCAGCCCTGCACAAATTCCCCCCCACCTATCTTCTATTCCCCCCACCTCACCCCACTGTCCTCTCCCACCGACCTTTTATTTCCTGCTAAGGCCACCACCTACCTTACATGTGCATCTTCTCCCAGGTGTAGGCCTCGAATTAATGGAACCACACCTACATGGCTCCATTAATTAGGTAGACAGCCTTTCATTTTCTTGTGTGCTGCTGCCCAGGCATGTGCCTTAGAGGGAACTATCCATGGACCATCTGAAGGGTGCTCGTGGACGACTAGTGGTCTGTGGATGTCTAGATAGCAAATTACACAAAGGACTCAGCCTGCCTCCACTCAACCCCAACCCTTTCTTCACAAAGAATCAGCCTTTTCTCCCAGAACACACCTGCAAGGTAACCTGACTGGCCACCAATAACCACAGACCAGAGATATACACTCCTCCATCCAAGAGCTTGGCCACATGTAACTGTGACCCTGCCCTTCTCGATGGTATAAGAGTGGAGAACAGGCTGCTAAAAGAAGTCTCCAATGCCACCTGTAAGTGTCCGGTCACCATCTCCATCAAGATTCAGGCCCCCCACACTACAAAAACAGAACTTGTTTATAGATTGCAGGCAGTCATCCCGCAGAGCAACAATGGAAGCGTATCTGTATCACTCAGGTTTATACTCAGACCAAATCCAGAGGGTAATTATGAGCACCACCAAAACCTCAGGTCCACAATCCTTAGTCTTAGCCTGTGTTAATGCATCAGATTCATTAACTCTTCAGACAGGAAGGAACTACCTGGATTCAGTCCATTAGGATCTGGATTGTCAAGCCATTCTGGCCAACACTCCACAGTAATCAAACAAGGACACAGAGGAATTATGGCTTTGGTCAGACTATCAACACATGGCTCTGTCATGTCACCTGAATCGAGGGGAGGCAGGTTTAAGGACAGACTCTGCAGATTATGACGGATGAGAGGAATTGTTCAAGCTAGCCTTTGGCCCTCGGTCACTATGCTATAAGAGACTTGGTTTGGTCTTCCCTTGCTATAGGTGCCATAAGAGCAAGACCCGGAACTGTCGACCTTCAGCCAGAAGTAGATGCAAATAAATAAGGTTTTCTAATGCAATTGTTTTGCACCTTGTCTTGTTTTCTCCCCATGCACTCTGGGCTCTGCAGTCACACAGAGGGCAAAGTCCCTGAAGAGGGAGGAAGTGGGAGGCCTGAGATTAAGCCAAAGACTTGCAAATGCCTGTCCTCCTGCAGCAGCAAATCTAGCTGACTTCTTCTTCTCCAAGCGTGGAAAGCCTTGTTTATCTCTCCTCCAGATGCAGAGCACTGGGTTCCTTTCTTTCATCCCCTACCCGCAGCAGGAAGAGTACCCAGCAGCCAGCTCTAAAGCCCCCTGCTTCCCCCTCACCTTTATGATCTCAGGGTTACTCCCTCGGACAGCATAGTGGAAAACCGTCTCCCCGTTTTTGTCCGTGACATCCAGCCGGGCATGGCACTCCACCAGCTCACATAGACACTCCATGTTTCCCTTCCGGCAGGCAAGCTGCAGTGGGGTACAGCCATCCTCGCACTCTGTGCTGTTCACACAGCTGCAACACAAGACAGCAAACAGGAGGCCCCTGCCTTAAGAGACGACATTCAGTACAACACCCTCCCAGAGGTTTGCATCAAAATCCCTAAATTGCTGTGTTAGAACTAATTGTTTTACTAGTTGGTATCTATGAAAGCCTAGAGCAGAGCCTGAGAAAGCTCCTGCATTAGCGCCTCAGTCCCCGAGCTATCCAGTTCCTAATTCCCTTGCCCACACCAAATGTTTCACCAGATCAATGCTGAAAGGCAATGGGGCATCTACTTGAAAGTGGTTTCCAGCATTTGATGATCCAGGATGACAATTCCTCTCCCTTGTTTATGTAACATGGTTTCACCGTGTACCACAACCCCTGTTAGTGGCCAGTCCATACAGATTACATGTCTTCAGCTCACATGCAGAAGCTTGGTGCTGAAGGTAATGAGTTCACAACCCACTAGCAACTCCTATGGTGAGTGTTAGATTTATACCCTTCAATAATGGGTAAGAGGCAGGGTTAACAACAAAGGGAAGTATTTCTTCACACAACACACAGCCAACCCATGGAACTCTTTGCCAGAGGGTGTTGTGAAGGCCAAGACTATAACCGGGTTCAAAAAAGAACAAGATGCATTCATAGAAGATAGGTCCATCAGTGGCTATGGCCCAGGATGGGCAAGGACAGTGTCCCTAGCCCAGTGATCTCCAACCTTTTTAAGTACAAGATCATTTTTTTGAATAAGTGCAATCCAGGATCTACCTCACACCCGATTACCCTTGTCCTGCCCCCTTTGTGCCCCTTCTCAGAGGCCCCACCCCTGCTCACTCTGTCCTCCCTCACTCCCCCATCCTTCCTGCCCCTGCTTGATGAAAGGGAGAGGGTTGGAGTTCAGACTCTGGTCTTGGGTTAAGGGATTAGCAGTTGCTCTGATCTGAGCCTGGGGCAGGGAGTTGGGGTGAAGGAAGAAGTTCAGGGTACAGGCTCTGTAAGGGAGTTTGGGTCTGGGGTGGATCAGGGCTAGGCCAGGGGCTTGGGGTGCAGGAGGGGTTTATGACTGGAGCAGGGGTTCAAGATGCAGGTTGCAGCTGGACACTGCTTACCACAGGTGGCGTAGTGAGGCTAAGGCAGGCTCACCCCTGCCCTGCCCCTGCACCCCTCTCAAAAGCAGCCAACAAACTCCCTCCATCCCTGGCCCTGTTGTGCCCCCCTCCATTCTGTGGAGATAAGCTACAGAGTGGGAGGGGAGGCCCCCTGACATCAGCGCCCGCTCCTCTTGCTTCCCTGCCCAGCAAGTGGAGAAAGTGGAGGCAGCTCTAAGGCAAAGGGCAGGAGATGCACAGCAGTGGTGGGGAGGGGCAGCTGAAGTGCCGGCACTTGATAGCCTCTTGGCCAAACCAGTCAAGGTCACCTGTCAGAGGCTCCAAGATCTACCAGTAGATCCTGATCGACTGGTTGGTGACCACTGCCCTAGCCTCTGTTGGCCAGAAGCTAGGAAGGGGCAGCAAGAGATGGATCACCTGATAGTTACCTGTTCTGTTCATCCCCTCTGGGGGTACCTGGCATTGGCCACTGTCAGAAGATAGGACACTGGGCTATTTGGATGTTCCATCTGACCCAGTAGGTCTGCTCTTCCGTAAGCAAAACAAGGTAGGTATTTTAGGCCACTATTTGCCAATGTGAGGTCAGTGGAACTTGCAGGAGCCAAGCTCTTCCAAAAGGAAGCCCTCTTTTACTTATTTAGAAGCTAAAACACTGATTTAGTGCTTGACCTTGAAAGCATGGGCCCAAAGTGCACTCCTGCTCTAAGCTAACTCCTAGCAGAATTCCTTCTGGATTATGCCTCAGCCCTTGCCTTATGATATGATTGTGTCGGAAACTCCCCCGAAGCTCCGTCTCCACTGCCACATGCGCCAAGGACCAGTTGGGGTGGTTACGGAAACAGTCGCTCAGTTGCTGGAGGACATTCAGCTCCAAGGACTGTGGTGAACTCTCGTAGAAGGGGCGCAGTCGTCTTGCATACTGCTCAAAACGCTCAATGGCTTCCATCTCATTGTCTAACTGGAAGAGCCTGGAAAAGAGAAAAGGGAATGAAAATGCAGTCCAATGACCATCTAAATAGGCCAAAAGCCAACCCTCCTGGCACCAGGGAGAAATAGTGATTCTCCACACCCTTGCACTAGGCATTCCTCCTCCCGCTTGCACAGTGTGCACCCCCATTGACACATTCTTGCGTTCATTCTTAAGAATACAGTCCCCAGTGACAGACCTGCAGCCAGGAAAATGCTCCCAATCTCTATACTCCCCCTTCTCCCTGTTCTCAGAAAATCTCCAATTTCACTCCAAAACGTGACCAGAAGAGGAAAGGGCTGTCTGTCACTCACCGGAAGGCGACTAGCTGACTCTGGGGGTTCACCAGCAAGCAGTCCCAGGAGCGAGCATTTTTGGTTTTGTACAGAACCAGCCTGTCTTCCTCTCTCAAGCGTGTGCGAGCTACATACTCTGCCAGAGGCACCTCCTTCACTCGGTACGGGTTTGAAAACAGGTTGGTGACATTGTTGATGGTGTCTACAAGTCGGCCAAAGAACTGCATGTTTTCGGGAAATCAATTGTCCTCTCCCCCTCACTCTGGAAGAAATCAGAGTCCAAATTCAGCCTAGGTCAGTACCTTCCCTCTGCCCCTACCCAGCAAATCACCAAGACTTCCATTCAGTGACCTTAATCCCTGCTCCTCATTTCGTACACACCAAAGCATTACCTCACTACAGGTCCAGTGACTCTTCATGTATTTTATGAGACCAGATGTGTCAACCCTAACCTGCTTCAGAAAGGTGTGCAACAGGAAAAGAGGAATGAAAAATTGGTTCCCACATATCAGTTAAAGAGATTTCTAGTAGGCATTGTCTGCCCCTGAATCTTTAGCCTCAGTTAGTGTCAGGGTCCCATTGTGTTGGGTGCTGTACTATGAAGTAGGCCCTGCCCCAAAGAGCTTACCATTTAAACAGACAGGGCAGACAAGGAGTAGGAGAAAGGCTGGGCCTATTACCCCCATTTTACAGATGGGAAACTGAGCTCTGGACAAGTGACTTGCCCAGGTTCACACAGGACATCTGCGGCAGAGTCAGGAATTGAACCCAGATCTCCTGTGTCCCCGTCCAGTGCTCTAGACAAAATACGATCATAAAAGAAGTCGGGAAGCCCTTAGCTAAGGTCTCAACTATGGCCATGATTTTGCCCAATGTGAATTTTTCACATTATTTCACGGACATCATTTGTCACCTCCTTCCATCTCCCCACTAAGATCCCAATCCTGCAAACATAAGGCCCTAACTGTACTACCAGTGTGAACATTCATGGCAATAAAGTGTTTACTATCAGGGCCTAAACATGTAACTTTTAACTAGGACTACACGGAGTGGTATGAAACAGATGTTTGGAGTATAAAATTAGTGTTGTGTGATAGTTCATAATTATGCGCATGGCATGGATTTGAAGTTGATGGTTATGAAGTGCGTACTGTTTGTTGTATGACTGTTGATTAAGAGAAATCTTTGGTTTTTAATTGTAAGTCTTATATAGTATTCATCGTTCTGGGAAGTTCCTAATATCTGTAGTCAACTTAATTTGGATGATGAAATGAGGAAGATTGTCCGCTCATGTGTTGTAACAGCTATTTGTGGATGGAGTTAAAAGTTGCATGTTTTGTGCAGAGGAAGAAACAGGAAGAGGCAGATGTATGATATTGTGGGGGAGGCAGAGGGGACAAGGTGAAATCATGACTGTAGGTCACATGGAATACTGAGGATTTAACTAGGGATTTGCTGGTGATTTTATGGTTACATTTGTGGAAATCATTTGAAAACCCTTACCGAGTTTAAAAGCGTGGCAAATTCCTTAAAAAGTGTAGATCAGTGCTGACAGTCAGACAGTTATCCATTATCATACCTCCCTCTCCCAGAGCTCAGATGCCCCCACGCTGTCTTGAGTTAGTTGTCACGGTGGGCCCCATAGCTGCAGTTCATCATAACCATGTTCCCCATTCTCTCCATTCATGGCCCAGCTACTCTCCCTGCCACACACTGTTCCTCTATCCACAATCCTGATTATGAAACATCCTTGGTCCCTACCAAGCCCCTTACTCTTCCATCACATACTGCTTTGAAAAATGGTTATGTATTGACATGGGCACATAACACCTTTTAAATCTGTACATTAAATCTCTGAAGTAGAGGGAGGGGGTCAGCATGGGTGTTACATGGATGTCACATGGGCAAAAGTTTCATCTGTAAGTAAACTGAGGCCAGGTCTACACTACACATGACCTTGCTCAGGGGTGCAAGAAATCCACACCCCAGAATGACATTACACTAATCCAGGGGTGAGCAAGCCAGCCTCCACAGGTTGGATCCAGCCCGAGGTCACCTTGCCACTCCCCCACCCCCAGGCCAATCGAGACCTGGCGAGCAGGGAGCAGGCAGTATTCTCCCCCGCCAGGGGCACGTGGCACCAGAGGGAACTGCTAGTGGCTCTCTCTGTGCACCTGGCAGGGCAGGGGCAAGGGACTTTGCGCGCTCCACCCCACCCCCAGGCCCTGATTGGCCTGGGGGGCCTGGGGGTGTCACCTTGCCACTCCCCCACCCCCAGGCCAATCGAGACCTGGCGAGCAGGGAGCAGGCAGTATTCTCCCCCGCCAGGGGCACGTGGCACCAGAGGGAACTGCTAGTGGCTCTCTCTGTGCACCTGGCAGGGCAGGGGCAAGGGACTTTGCGCGCTCCACCCCACCCCCAGGCCCTGATTGGCCTGGGGGGCCTGGGGGTGGGGAGCCTGGAGCTAGGGGCAAAGACTCCATGTATTCCTCCATCCCCAGGATAATCAGGGTCTGTGAGCGAAGGACCATGAGAAGTCTCCTGGCCCCGCCTCTCTCTAGGCACCTGGAGCTAGGGGCAAAGACTCCATGCATTCCTCCATCCCCAGGCTAATCAGGGTCTGTGAGCGAGGGACCATGAGAAGTCTCCTGGCCCCGCCCCTTCCAGCACCACCAAGATAGCTACTGCATCTCAGGGAGGTGGATTAACTGCACCAAGAGCTCTCCCAAAAGCACGGAAGCACTGCAGTTGCACCACCGTTGTGTAGATGAAGACCACACTTTATTTTTTCCTTTTCTGAATCTGCATTCTCACACATCCACTTTAAGAGCACAAAGATGTGTTCTTTACTGCAGATTGGAAAAGCACTTCACCTCATTCCCAAAATAAATCTCAAACTCCAGACACTCCCAAGTTGGGATGTAAATTCCCATTTAATTGATTAACCACATGGGCAGTCAGAGCAGCTAGGGCTGGGGGAGGCAGGACCACAGCCCCACCCCCTCTGCTGAGGCCCTGCCCTCCTAGCCCCAGAGCACCACGGAGGGAGGAGGCAGCACAGCTTGAGCCTCCCCAGTCCCCGAGAGGGAGGAGGCCATGCAGTCCGAACCTCACCTGCCCTGGAACACCGGGGAGGGAGGAGGATGCATGGATCCAGCCTGTCTGCCCCATAGGACAGGGAGGGCAGGTACTGGAGGCAGCAACACTCTGCCCCCAGTACATCTACTGCAGGGCTGTGTCTAGACTGGCCAGTTTTTCCGGAAAATCATCTGTCTACACTGGCCGCTTGAATTTCTGCAAAAGCACTGACGATCTCATGTAAGATTGTCAGTGTTTTTGCGGAAATACTATGCTGCTCCCGTTCGGGCAAAAGTCCTTTTGCACAAAACTTTTGCGCAAAAGGGCCAGTGTAGACAGCCCAGATTTGCTTTCCGCAAAAAAGCCCCGATCGCGAAAATGGCAATTGAGGCTTTTTTGCGGAAAAGCACGTCTAGATTGGCACGGACGCTTTTCCGCAAAAAGTGCTTTTGTGGAAAAGCGTCCGTGCCAATTTAGGCGCTCTTTTCTGAAAATGCTTTTAACGGAAAATTTTTCCGTTAGAAGCATTTCCGGAAAATCATGCCAGTCTAGACGTAGCCCAGGTGTTCTGGGGGTGACGTGTGGGTGGGGCCACACCTGCAAAGGCAAAGCCTTCCCTAGGTTAACAGACACCCATGATTAACTAGTTAATCTGTCTGAGCACCCCTGCCTGTGGGGTAGCTGGGCCCACTGCAGACAGAGGCTTCTCTGCTAGGATACCAGAGAAGCCCCTGCCCGTGGCGGGACAGGGGTTGCTCTAGCACAGCCAGAGCAGCCACTGTCTGTGGCAGGAGGAGACCAGCTCCAGTCCCCACTGATTAACCTTAACCAGTAACCCTCATCTACAGGGGATGACAAACCATAACGAAATCCACTCGCCAGCCCTGTACCGTGCATGCACCAGGCCCGCATTACACATGCACGCGCCACCAGTGAACAGGGCGACTGGCTGAAATCTGCTCACCACAGGCGAGTAGATACACTGATTTGTCGAGCCTTGCTCATCTGTTAAGGCTGAGGCATACTGGTTAACTGGTTAAGCATGCACATCCTTACTTCCAAGGGAAAAATTAGAGATAGTACAACAAATCTGCAGGGAGAAGAGGGATAATTTCTGTTAATTAGAGACTTCTGTTTATGGACTCACTTCTAGGAAAGGGGAAAAATGCTGACTGAACATAAGAATGGCCATACTGGATGAGATCAAAGGTCTATCTAGCCCAGTATTAGGGATGTAAAACATCCCATTGAATTGGTTAACGGGTTAACCAATTAAAGGGGGGGCCTACAGCCCACCGGTGGGCTGGAGGGGCCTTCCCCATCCCCATGGCAGGCAAGGAGCTGTTTCAGCCCCCAGTGAACCAGAATTGGTAACCTTTCAAATCATTGCCCAGTATCCTATCTTCCAACAGTGGCCAATGCCAGGTGCCCCAGAAGGGATAAACAGACCAGGTAATCATCAAATGATCCATCCTCTGTTGCCCATTCCCAGCTTCTGACAAACAGAGGCTAAGAACACCATTCCTGCCCAACTTGGCTAATAACCATTGATGGACCAATCCTGGCCTATAACCAGGGCTTGACAAATAATGTAATCTATTCGCCCGTGGTGAGTAGATTACAAGCCGGAAGAGCTGGCGCAGAGCGATCTGCACATGCACAGAACCGCACGAAACCAAGCGGCTGGTGAGCAGAGCTCGCTGCCACTTGGTGAGCCCTGCCTAGAACCATTGATGGCCCTAACCTCCTTCAATTTATCTAACTCTTTTTTGAACCCTGTTAAAGTCCTGGCCTTCACAACAACCTCTGGCAAGGAGTTCCACAGGTTGACCGTGCGCTGTGTGAAGAAATATGTCCATTTGTTTGTTTGAAACCTGCTACCTATTAAGGGAAAGAAGGAAACACAGGAAGCATATGCACAAGATAAACAACGGGTCTTTTATCTCCACCCATCCAATGAAAAGATACAGGAAGTGAACCATACGCAAAAAGAGGAACAGAGAACCCGATAAACACTAAACACACATACACACCAAAGAGGAAAGCAAGCACCAAGCTGCAGCTCTTCTGTTCCTTTATTACGAGCTGACTTCCCTCTAGTCTCTGTCATTCCAGGAAGGCGCGTGGGGGTTTCGCTGTCCCCCAGACCTCCAGGGGCCTGGCTGCAATTGGAAACCTTGTGTCCAGGCCCTGCACAGCAGCTGAGCCATCCTTCCGGCTGAGGCTGGAAATTCCCTTGCAGGGCCCCAGGCCCCCGCCTCTGCCCCAGCCAGAGCAAGGGCAGCACTTTGTTCCTGAGCCCCTGGCAGGGAGGGGACCCAAGCAGGCGCTGTGGCGCAGTGTCATTGGCGGGGGTGGGGAGCTGCCCA